TTGATTTTACCTGCTTGTCTTCTCTCATACAGCACAACAATATGACAGCACCTGGTCATGCATCTTAATTACAGTTGTCAGTTTGACACTGAGTTACATTGAGTAATCTACCTAAAATTCTAATGTATTGGATATTTTCACATATGCTTATATCTCCTGATGACAGGCAGAGTAGGCAAGTAAATTGGAACAGACCCTAATATATTATTTTTAGTGTTTTAAGGTAATTGGCATTTCACAAGTAACTTTTCAGGTGAACCTTTGATTTACTTCTTGCTTTTAAAAAGCAAGTTAGCATCATTATATACATGTTTGCAAAGTTGTTTATGTTTGACTATAATACCTTTGCTCCCTTCATTGTTGAATTAAAGTTTACCAAGAATGCTAATACACAATTGACTTTTTCCCTTTAATGCATCATATTACATCTCGAGTTATTTGCTTGACAACGGTTTTAGTAGCTACACTGAAATGTCGCTCATATTATATTAAAGAAGTTGTATATCCATAGAACTCTCCTTGTTGTTCATCACAACAACTTCTAAATGCCACTCAGAGAAGGAAAGAAAATGTCAGCATATATATATCTTCTCCATAGTTGAAACATTTGTTAAGCATAATGTTTTCCACCTTTGACTTATCCCAATGAATATGTTCATTATGTGACATGTCTTTCTCCACAAAAGTAACTTAAATCTGATTATGATACATTTTGTCATAACTGGCAGTCATGAGATAATATTACCCTGTATCAGTTGGGATAGTAATACTCCACTGATATTTTCCAGGATGAACACCCTGAGGCAAGAGAGAAACAGATGTTGTATGACCAATTCTTTCCCTGGACTGTATCAACTGACCCACTTAATGCTGGTGGATACTTTTGATGTTGAATGTAACATCAGTGAGGTCGTTGGGGTGGAAACAATCACCCATGATGATTTTGATGGAAAGAATATTGAGCCAAACATTTTCTCTCCAGACTGGGCAGAGACCACATATGAAAGTACTTGTATTCAACACAGAGAGACAAACATGCAGAGCTTCCAGTACTAACTATTATGCTTAGTGCTGCAGCAAATTTCATTTAAACAGGACTGTCAAAATATTCAGACTTCACTGTTGTACTTCCATTTTGGGTCCATATGCATGTCACCTAAACTATCTGTACAGCAATATTGACAGTATGATTGTCAGTGTGGAAAACATCAACATGCATCTGATGTAAGTGTTAATCAAGGTTCTTCAAAGGAGACCATCATTTTTTACTGTATGTATGTCTATATTTATGAATGTCCATACATGCAGAATATTATATGTTCAACAATACAAACTGAAATGACAACTGACTTTGTTGATTTTTGGCTGATGATAATTGACACATGAGAATAATCCTAAGTATTGTAGAAACTCAATTGTGCCATTTAGACTACCATTCAAAACTTAAATTATTCCTTGTTTCAGTATTTCAAATGCACACTGTGTTCACTGACACTGTTAGCCCATTATAATTGTGATGAGCCTTGATGTAATTTGCAAACCCTTCACACATGCTGGAATAACAAATGTGAAATATTTGTATTCAAATCTAAAAGGCTCCCACCTTAAAAGACAATAAACCCGATACCCCCTTGCTTCTGGCATCAGGTAGTTCAGACCTCCAGTATTGGTTCAATGTGTTTGTAATATTTCAGCATTTCACTAATGCTTAATTACATTATTTGACAACACCTGAAACACAATTTCAAATACTATTCTTGTGTTTTCAAAATGTGACCTGTCATTTAGGTAATGGTTATTTGTGTAGAGAAGAGACAGCCTTTAAAAATGGTACAGATTGGGGTGGGGTCCCAAATGATACTTAGAAATACATTGTGCAAGCAATATGCCAATTTACTGTACATTTTGGGGATTGAATAATGGCCTATGGGGCTGTTCATAATTTATTTGTGGCGTGTGAGGTGATGATGAATTTAAGGGGGGTCACCTATTTTGTTCTGGAAAGCTAGAGGTCATCAATTTTGTACACATGTACTAAGGGGGTAAGAAAATTTGTACATAAAAAAGATTATGCTTAAAATTATGGGGTGGGGGGTGGGTTTAATTGATTTTGAATATGACATATGCAAAGGGGGCGTCACTTTGTACATGAATTGTAGGGAGGTCATTCACATTGTACATGCTTCTCCAAAAAAATCGTCACCAACCGCCACCCCATTAATTATGAACGGTCCCTAAATGTGTAGAATGTAGAAACTATAAACTGGAAGTTGTGTACTTATTTATCGTGGGAAAGGGTGTAATATATTTTGTTGAACATACTGTCAACGAGTCGTTAATTCGATAACAATGATTTATGATTCAAATCCTCTCGAAAACGATCCGTTGCCATAGCATTTCCTCTTTCCACTGCATCCCGAAGCGTTATATATAGGCTATGGGAATAGGTTGTTTAGGTGAACGAAAACTGAAGCGCTTATGTTGTCCGCGTAATCAGGTCATTGCTAACGTTATTTGTTTAACGCTAATTTCAGTGTACACTAATCCTATGTTCTAACAACTATTACGACGCCATTAATCCTCTGTGTAATGTGACATAATGGGGAGTAAATGGTTTGACGAATTTACAAAGCAACTACTCAATAAGAAATTCCGAGAAACGGCAATATTTCAATAACTGCAGTACCGTTCTATTTATATTAGTTTTGTCCAGACACGCTAGTTCTTCGTGCTTTGACAACAGTCTTCACTCGGGGCAACATCCAGCTTCCGTAATTCGTAATATATGAATCACAGAGTAAAAAGTAGGTTTAATGTCGATTTAAGTTTAGGCTTGGCCGATAGTCAGGCCTATATGCGAGTATCAGAGTAACAGCTACTGTTGGATCGTAACTACCTGAGTGCCCCCTAGCGGGCAAGGGGGCACAACTCCAGGAATGTTCCCCATCGGTGCCACTTGATTCAGACCGGTCTCAAAGCAAAAGATATAAATACTGACATTAATGTCGTAAAAAGAAGTCTGTAAAAATACGAAAGAAGTGTTAGAACTGAAAATGTATTTTCATTCACAACCTCAACTCAATGAAAATACCCAATATGTAAAACAATGTTGACGTCCATATGACATCACTATCGGGAAGCGACTTTCTCAAAATGGCGTGTTCACCGACACCGCGGGATTTTTGGAATAAAACTTGTCGTTTCAAGGAACGTATATACATAAATGTGACATGTAAGTAGTCCGAAACATTCTAGTAATCTGCTGGTTGTTATTTTCTTTTTATCTTCATTGTGACCAAGGAAAATAGTCTGACATGAGGAGAAGTACCGTCATGGTTGTGCGTGAGTTTGTGTTAGTCGTAGTGTCACGCTTTCAGAAACTATATTACATATTGTATATTGTGTTGAATCTAGGAAATCATTGGAATACACCTACTTTTATTTAACTATCTCTTGCCACGATATATTTCCCATGCATGTTCTAAAACTATTTCCCATGCATGAGCTAGTGTATGCAACGAGTAGGCGAACGGATACACAGTGTAAAATCTGAGATTGGCTTTGTTTACATTTCAAACAAGCGGCCCTTTCCCAGCGCCACATCTGATATATTTCGTTAGATTTCACTGAGACTCAAGGTATTGGTGACAAAGACCATTTGTCAGTATATTTTGAACTGTATGAGGAATTCAGGAAGATGGTTTTGAATTATAGTATTGATGCTATGGGAGAAACATAACCGACATACATGTGACATGATTTTATACAACACTCCGCAATATGGCTGAAAGTTCACTTTGACGTGGGTTTTGCGTATTTTCAAAAACATTCTCAGCGATTCCCGGTTCATCGACGATGTTTCAGAACGAGAATTGGTGTTTCGACCAAACAACAACAAAACTACCGGTGATCACAATGATACGGTTTAAAAAACAAACCAAAAATCAATTCTCCAGTAAAATTTGACATTTAAATTAAGACATAAACTATAAATGAATGGTAATTTAGTAATGTGTCAAAACTAGCGAGATTTACGATGCATGTACTTTTCAGTAAATTCCCTACAATGAGCGGATGATATCATAAAAAACGAATTTCAAACTCGACTGTACAAACACTTTGTACAATATACGTCCTTGGTACAATGTATACTGAAGTACACGTTTGTTCAAACTGCAACATCATCATAGTGTAGAACTGACAAAGATCCTCCGGATTGACAGCTGCAAACCACAAACGGTGCCGTTTCTGACTGAGATCTCTTGTTTTCTCATCGCTATTACTAATAATAGCTGGGAATCTGAAAAGTCTCTTCTTGTCTCGGGTTGCACGATTAGTACATTTAAACACCGCGCACGAAACGGGCATATCGGCATCAGGTGGAATATCGCACTTGTTTACTTTTCGCGCTTGCAAGGTTGACAACCAACATGGCGGCCGCGCACTGCATCATGGGTACTGAAACCCCTCTATAGCCAGCTGACGGCAAGGCAACAGGTGGATTAAAACAGTAGCCTGCACATTGAGACACAAGAACCACACCTATACCTGCACCACGTGAAATGCACTGGAAAATACTTCACATTTACAAGCTTGTAAATGTCTTGTAAAGGAATATTGCTGAGAACGGAGAAAACAGAATCTCACCCAGTTTCTCTTGTTCAAACGAAAATAACAACACGAGTCAACAAACCTGGCAGTTTTCAACTGTAATCGACTCGGTTGATATATCTGATATCAAAAGACACCCGGAGAGATTCAAAATATCATCCAAAATATTTTCATAAAGTTTTCAGTTAGAGGTTGTCTTGAGTAAAGAAGAAGACGCTAACCAACGTCATTATCGGAGATTTGTGATGTCATCTGTGACGTCATGGAAATCGATGACGTCACAATGTTCTGCAAAGCATCGTGATTCATTTTCACGGTCCCAAGCTTGGGAAGTAAAGTTTGGATGCTTCAATACCATATATATGATGTCAAAAGAGAGTTGTCCTTACAGTTTGTGCACCATGAATCCACACAGACGAACCGCTGTACCCCTGCAGCCGTCATGGCAGCGGCGATAGTCTTCATGGACTGTGAGTACAACGTGCACGGCTGGTGGGAGAATAGACTTGCCCGGGCTCCCAAACATGAGAAGACGGCCGTGGAACCACGCAGGCGTTTTGCCAAGTCAGCAGTTTTGAAGATGTTTACTCTCTCAACCTGGAAAAACATAACACAAAATATGAATCGATGTAAAATAACCCATTATCATAAATGTGTTGTACATGGTTTTGCTTTGCCCTACAAAACTAGAAGTATGTAGTTTGTTTTTTTAGCTTTACGCCGCTTTTAGCAATATTCCAGCAATATCTCGGCTTGAGACACCAGATATGGGCTTCACACATTGTACCCATGTGGGGAATCGAACCCGGGTCTTCGGCGTGACGAACGAACGCTATATAACCACAAGGCTATCCCACCACCCGCCTGTAATGTAATAAGGTGAAATGTGTAAAAAAAATACGTTAATAAGAGGAAATGTATATTTCTTGTCCGTACACCGAATATTATTGAGTGAGTGAGTTGAATGTCACTGAATACCAATCACTGAGGAAATACAACATAACGCATACGTGAGTTTATACGCTAACAGTGAGGGAGTTGAATGTCACTGAATACCAGTCACTGAGGAAATACAACATAACGCATACGTAAGTTTATACGCTAAGAGTGAGTGAGTTGAATGTCACTGAATACCAATCACCGAGGATACGCAACATAACGTATAGGTAAGTTTATACGCTAAGAGTGAGTGAGTTGAATGTCACTGAATACCAATCACTGAGGAAATACAACATAACGCATACGTAAGTTTATACGCTAAGAGTGAGTGAGTTGAATGTCACTGAATACCAATCACTGAGGAAAAGCAACATAACGTATACGTAAGTTTATACGCTAAGAGTGAATGAGTTGAATGTCACTGAATACCAATCACTGAGGAAAAGCAACATAACGTAAACATAAGTTTATACGCTAAGAGTGAGTGAGTGAGTGAGTTGGGTTTTACGCCGCTTACAGCAATATTTTAGCAATATCACGGCGGGGGACACCAGAAAAGGGCTTCACACATTATACCAATGTGGGAAATCGAACATGGGACCTTGGCGTGGCGAACGAACGCTTTAACCACTAGGCTACACCACCACCCCCGAATATTATTGAGGGTCCATTGGGACGCAATGTATACTTCTTCTGTAGCCACTGAGTGAAAGGAGCCAGCCTCTTCGAACGGAATGTCAGTAAACCAGATGAGTCTGTTTGATGTTGAATAAATGTGCGGGTCCAAGAAAATGCTGCTTTGGTGATAGCAGGCTTCAAAGTTTTGGTGCTCTCAAACAGAATCCTAATCTGCTTTGGTCGAAAACAAGCTAGTAAAAACGAGCCGGAAGTAAAATGAATCGAATTGAAAAATTTGAAAGGTTTTTAAAATGTTTTGAAAGAAGGCATAAAATGAATTGACAGACATATAGTCATTTTTGCAGAAAATCCGATGCCCAATGTATGAACTTTAAGACGTGTCCGTCTTGTCTATGTTTACAGTTTCTATGATGTCTGCCATTATAACACATTATATAACCCTCGGCATTGAAACATGGTTCAACATTCTAAAGCAAGCAAGCGAATGCCAAGGACATAAAAATGTTTGTTAGGTTTCATAACAATTTCACTCGAGAAGATCCGGGTTAGAATTGATCTTCAGTAACCCATGCTTGCCGTAAGAGGCGACTATCGCGATCGGGTGGTCAGACTCGCTGACTTGGTTGACACATGTCATCGTATCCCATTTGCGTAGATCAATGTTCATGCTGTTGATCACTGGATTGTCTGGTTAGACACGATTATTTACAGACCGCCGCCATATAGCTGGAATATTGCTGAGTGCGGCGTAATACTAAACATCTGACTGACTCACTCTTATCAAAATCCTCCTGTCAAAATGAGAAATTCTCAGATTCGACTATTTAGAAGACATTTCTCCCCCTGTTGATAATTCAAAAGGAGAAAATGACCTGTCGATGACTTTTTTTCTGTGTTTATTGCTTTACATCTGTTTATAATATGATAATATTACAGGTATATAGCGATGGCCTGAAAAAAGAGTCTGGACCCTCCAGATTTAGTTGCCTCTTTATTAGACTATACTGGGTTTCATTGGAACCACTCTTGGGCTGTACGTGAAATGAATAAAAATTCTCTAATCTCAATTTTTCCAATCACTTTTGACATTTATGCCCCGACCTGACAAAAAATGCTCATATACTCTCACATTTATAAAAAAATACACACACAAACAATACAACACCAAAAACCCCAACAAACAAACACCCCCAAACAGTAAAACCCAACGAAATAAAAAACAGGTCCGCTTGATCGTTACTCGTCCACATGCAAAAAACTTGCTGCCGAAGCACAACGTTTCGATCTACATCATCAGTTACATTAAAGACTATTGCCAAGTGTTTTCATTTTAACCATTTCAAGAAAAAAGGGTTTTTAATTTTTATCAATCTGAATTATGTTTTCGCTTCCTTGTCCCTTGGAGGCTGGAGATGGGTAACAATAAACAAAATAAGAATATCCTGACCTGGAGACCGTATGTAGGGCAGGATCAGTATCCTACCTTTTTGTGCCATTTTATTGACGCTTCATTGAATATATGCTCTAAAATTTAATTTTACGGAAATCTATCACTTTTACATCATTAAAACAATGGGTAAATGCTGTATCAGAGAACAAGGCCCTTTCTGATCCCCAGGAATTCGTTTATCGTGTCATATATTTCAAGCATTTTCCCCATCCCCTCCAGTATGTCCTTAACAATTATAAATTTATGTTATTGGAATAAAATAATTCATTCTGTTTTAAAGAAAATATGTCAAAATTAAGGCAAGGTGTATATATATATCTATTCTTCCTTGAAATGTTTATGTTAGCCTTTCTCACAGAAAATCAAATTTACACTCAAAATCACAGATCTAACGCTTCTGTTTGCTGTGACATTGAGAGAGTTCCGAAGGTCAGGCTGACCTTGACCACCTACCGTGAGCTTGTTGTCAGTGATGGTTATCTTGTCTGGGGACCTGGCGAGCGCTTGGACCTCGTATCCCTGTAATAGAGCTTCTCGCACGAGTTCGAGTCCAGAGGGACCCGTAGCTCCCAAAATCGATAACCTTCCGCCGTCATAGCTCGACGATTTCCGGACCAATGGTTTAGTAAGACTACAGCAAAGTTTGATAGTGTGTGCATGGCGCGTGACTAGTCGTGAAGGCATTGCTGGTGCTACCCCGGACGTGCTGTCGTGCAGATCGAACTGCAGGCTGCATTCTCTGGGCGTTGTGCGAATGCGGGAGGCCCATTGAGCATTAAGCTCTCTCTGTTCAATGGTAGCGGCATATGTTTAGTGTTATGTAGTAAGGGAGGTCACTCTTGTTACTTTAGCCACACTGCTTGCTGTTAAAGCACTACACATAACAACGCTAATTCAAGTACATGTGTCTGTTAGTATCTGTGTGTGGTTCTTTGTGGGTGAGTGTTGTAAGAGTCCTGGCGAATGCCATGCTGCAGTTTAATGCGAATACGACCTGCCCTTTAATACGGCCTAACATTGTATTTCGCCCCTTAATATAAGGCACAAGGAAGGGTACAAACAACGCGGACCAACTTTCAACGTACCTAATAGTTAGGTATCATATTATACAAAGTATCTGTCCAGCTTCCCAAGCTCTTTTTTTCTGTTTCATTGTTGAACACCCCAACCTCTGCTCTGCAGCGAAAGGCTACACGAAACTATACGAGGACATATCCAGCATCACTGACTGTGGGAAAAAATAGAGCACTAATATTGAAACCCGCCCCAGTTCTAATATTTTTGTGGTAATAGTGAAAAACAATGCCATTAAAATCTTATTCAATATCGTCCAATCACAGTTGATTGCGTATTCACTGCACGCTCCAGCGTCAGCATGAGGGCAGTGGAACCTGTAGAGATCCCGAATAGCTCTTCCGCCTGCCCATGTGCGTTTACACAGGAATGTATAAGTATAATAACATATGGTACACGCAGTCGCATCTGTGTGCTTTACGTAATATGCAGCATGTATTAATTGGGGAAAGATAAGCTCATTTAATGTTGGATAAAAATGACATAAATTTCCTCTGGAAACCAAATGTTGGTACGAAAGTAAATTGGATTATGCCCATTTCCGGAATATTTTGGTATGGTAGCTTCCAGTGATAATCAACGGTGAATGTGTTGAGACAGTGTCGGAGTATAAGTATCTGGGAACCTTCATTGACTCTAAGCTGAACTGGAACTCTAACACTGAAGCCCTATACAAAAAGTGTCAACAACGTCTTCATCTCACGCGTAAACTGAGATCTTTTAATGTTAACCCATCTGTGATGTCATCTTTTTATGTAGCATTTATTCAGAGTATTTTAACATTTTCCTACCATTGTTGGTACGGGTCTCTCTCAGTTCAGCTCAAATCTAAAATAGACAAAATTGTAAACACTGCAAGTAAAATCGCTGGAGTCAAATTTGAATGTTTATCATCAATATATGAGCGGCAAATCGTGAATCAAGCTGTCAAAATCATATCTGACCGTACTCACTACTTAAATTCGGAATACAACCTTCTCCCTTCAGGCCGCCGATACAAAGTTCCAATTGTGAAAACTAAGAGAGCCCGTACATCCTTTATTCCAAGTACCATATCTCTCTTAAACAAATGTGAAGATGCCTAAATCAAAGAATTTATGTAAATATGTTTGGTATCTGTCTAATGTGTCAGTAGCTCTGCTGATGTAACACAAATTCCTGAAAAGGCATTAAAGTATTATTCTATTCTATTCTATTCTATTCTATTCTAGATGTCGAAACCTTAAATTATATATCAATATGTACAATGTAATTAGGGAAATCTTTCATTCCACAATGCATTTTCTCATCTCTAACTTGTTGTTAGATATTTGTGCTAATTTCGTATTGATTGATTAATTGATTGTTTGTTGTTTTACGCCGCACTCAGCAATATTCCAGCTATATGGCGGCAGTCTGTAAATAATCAAGTCTGGACCAGACAATCCAGTGATCAACAGCATGAACATTGTTCTACGCAATTGGGATACGATGACATGTGTCAACCAAGTCAGTGAGCCTGACCACCCGATCCCGTTAGTCACCATGGGTTACTGAGGACCAATACTGACCCGATTAATATACGACTCAAATGTAGAGCACCAGATGACCAGTGGTAAACGTATGGAAAGCAACTCGCCGAGGGAACGTCGTCCACTTTGCAACACATAAGGCTCATGTCACATGGTTGAGTAACCCCAGTGATATTCAGCCAGTCACAATGGCTTTACGTCACTTATATTACAGCAATATTCGATCAATGTCTAGGTGTGAGAAACCAGAAAATGGCCTTCAAACATTGTACCCATATGGGGAATCGAACCCCGGGTTATCGGCGTGACGAGCGATCGCTTCAACCACTGGGCTACCCCACCGCCCCCCCTTGTATAATTCGATCCAGTAAACTTGACACGTAGAAACCACCACATGGGTTCTCGTTACCAGCGTCACGTAAAGCACAACACACATGTTGAAGAATATATTTATTCTATAAACAGGTAAACGCATTCGTCCCAGTTTTGATGACGACAGATATATAGATATATATGGTTCTTCTATAAGAAGATAATTGTTAAGTATAGTGTCATCTGAACAATAAAAACATACTCCATTGTGCATTCTAAAGCTGTTTATGTGCAATATGTTAACTAGTTACTGCAACATTATTAACTTTCAGCGGTTTTGGTAGATCTGGAAATAACACCTCCATCGAAACCATTTGTATATAAATCAAGATATATATTTTCTCATTGTGTCATTGTGTTTATTGTATGTCTGAGTGATCAGTCGACGTATAATTATTGCGTAGAAACTTCACCATGTGTAATAACAATGGAACCTTTTCACTCGAGACCCTGCCAATCACGAATTACTGTTTATTGACGATTAACCCCGTAATAACCCGTGGACGTATACATTAACAGAGACGTGTGTTTTACCAATGATTCGTCAGCCCGGACAATAATTGTCCGGATTAAAGGGATTTCACTTTCACACATTACATGTACGTCAGTTGATCTCCGTGAGTGAGTGAGTGAGTGAGTGAGTTGTACGGCGCTTTTAGCAGTATTCCAGCAATATCACAGTGGGGCACACCAGAAATGGGCTTCATGCATTGCACACATGTGATCTCCGTGAGTCATCGAGAGCCGATGTTCCATTAATGAGATAAAAACACAATATGTACCAATTAACGTACAAACTGAGTAAGTCGAGTATACGTCGAAAGATAGTCAGTTCGAAATAAGCAGAGTTCCACATAGCACCGATAATAATCCCGTTTTTACCGTGTAGAGTTTTTATATGCATACGACTTGACATATTGATATATATATTACCAGAACCACTATGTTCGAGATATTCTCCATATCAAATGTTCATGGTAAGTCTGAGTTATCTCATAACATTTATTCCACAAGAAATACTTTTATAAAAAACCGACCATCCCTTAATAAACATCTTGACGGATACCTGCATCAAATACAGGTAATAATGTCAAATGCCAGTGTCAAGAACTGGTGATAAAAGGACGTTACTATGCTCTGTATCTGAGATAAAAGACGATGATTGTCTCGAAAAGTAGAAGTGACAAAGTTTGTTAAAATTCTCACCCCATTGGCAGTATTTCAGTCATTGAAATGCTTTTAATGCATGTAAAAACAATTAAACTACCCCACCGCCCACAAAGCTTAGAGGACACCTATTAGACATTCTTGAAACGAGAATTTTGTCAAAAGCCTCGTCTGGAATGGAAGTCGCCATTTTGAAAATTTCCGTATAGCTCGAAAAAAGCTGTATTCGGATTGGCTGCTGTCACCTTCCAGTCATTTCATTGGTCGAAGTACACTCAAGGTTGTCCTGATTTGCCCTGTTATTAGATGACCACATATCATGTTTTCGCGGTACCCAGAACAAAGATCTGCTTTTAGTGAGGTATGGCGTCAATATGTACTCATATTCTTCCAAAAAGGATAAAAGATAATCATTTTTCAGTACAAATAACACGTCAGCAAACACTTTGTTCATATGTTTGAACCCAAATACAAATGGTAAAATACAATAAAAATATTAGCAATGGTTACTTGTAAGGTGCATTGCACCTTTTCCCTAAGGTATATTTTAGAAAATGTGGTGTCGTTGATTTACTACGTAACCGTGTGGAAGTGAGTGGTTACATTGTGTTTGTGGTGCTACAAGCTACATGTTGAACTATAACAGCTTCAGGTTTTGGTGACTCCGTTTTCCCATAATGCCATTTGATGTAAGTTCGTGTTACGTCAGATCCGGATAGTGTGGAGATGAAATGCCTCACTGTGGCCTCACTTGATGCCGACGGCCACGTGTGTCTTTTTCCATTCGCCGTTGATGACACACTTCAACATGAATTTTGCAACATCACGGCGGGGAATCCTTGAAGTTGCTTCCGGGACATACTGACCTTGATGTGTCAACACCTCCTTACCTGCAATTAGATAACACATAAAAGGTAAAATATTTCTACCCACTGTCAATACCTCATAGGCTTTCTGTGAATACACCTGCTGTTTTTAGGGGCGGTGGGGTAGCCTAATGACTAAAGAGTTTGCTCGTCACGCTGAAGGCCCGGGTTCGATTCCCCACTTGGGTACAATGTGTGAATCCCATTTCGGGTGTCCCCCGCCGTGATTTTGCTGGAATATTGCTAAAAGCGGCGTAAAACCATACTCACTCGCTGCTTTTTGCGCCATTTTTAGCATTATCAGGCTAGACACATAATAATGTGCTTCACACAAAATCTGACAGAAACTTAAATTTCCGGTTTGAAATGGCTTACTAAAGAAACATTACACGTACTGTAGGCATGAAGGAGATTCTCCTTGTTATCAGCTCTATCTGTTATTTTTCTAGAAATATCCTGTAAAACTGGCTCTTCGCTTAGCACATGTCTTGAATGAATAGTAGGGTTCGCAACATGTTGGTGCACATACAGAGCATGTTAAGCTGTTCATGGTAGTGTTGGGAATTGGTTAAAATCTCATAATTGATGATTGGTTCATTACCACCGATCAATCATCGAAAATAATTGGTTAGCGTCATTTATGAAATTTGTTAATGCACAAAAAAATAAGGAAAAAAACATGTAGTTACTCTGGAGCTTTTTTGGCAAAATTTCACATCTTTATAGGATGACTAGTGTGTTAGGAACATAAATTTCTTGGTGTCTTTAAGATAAATTCAATCATGACTTGGAACGAGCTTGTAGTGCTTATGAAATGTAACAGACAAAACCAACCTTGTGATAAATATTGTTGATGAAAACAAGTGTTCCAGAAATGTTTGTGTTCGATTATGAGAAAACATGATCGATTGCTTGGTCGTTTAGTCACTGCGACCAATCTTTGATTATTTCAATTAATCGGACCACCACTAGTTCACGGTAACGTGATCATTTGTTGATTACAATTCAACAGATAGAAAACAACACGGATGAAGGGGAACGTATAACGTACCATATACAAGCCAGTGCAGTATTCCTTTAAAGCGAACTTACTGTGACTACCACATAACGTCAAAGCAAACTTACATAAAGACTTAAAGTTCCACCCTCTTTGTACATATGCATCCAGTGACATGCTCAACATTATCTATCTGTTATTGCATTACATGTCCCGTTATTGCCCGACCCGACCATCTGCCCCCACTCCCTCCTCCCCACACACACACACACAGAGTATTCTGACTCCGAGCCGACCATTAATACTGGATTACCCCACTAAGTACAATCCCGTAACATCGTTTGGTTTGACCAAGCCAATGGATGGTACCATCGACCTTCTGAACGCCATGTAGGTGCTCTATCCATTAAACCAAGGAAAAGGTCTCTGTCCATGGTTAGGCTGCCCCCCTTTACCTGATTCAAACTAAGGTGCGGTCAATCAACGGCAAAGCGCCCCAGGCTGTGACACAAGAACATGAACCACGCCCACGCCAAGACCACGCCCACGCCCAAAACACGCACGAACCATTATTATTATTTCTGATTTTTTCACATACCTGACGCTTCCTCGTTTGAGAGTCCCGGCGGCCTGACGACGGTGTAGTCAATGTCGGTGCAGCTGTTGGTGAGATAGTCTTCCATCTCCGCCATATTGGGCAAGATGTTCCTCAAAAACAGGGGACGCAAAACCCACCTAATGATCCAGGGGAGACCAGGATCATCTAGAAACATTTAAACTACATTTAAGAAGGAGCCCCAGTGACATGGGATATTCTAGGATCAAGCCTTAACGTTAGTTCTAGTCGGAAGGGAAAGTAATGCAGTTAAGGAGTTCGAGGTAAGAGACTGCATACGAAATCCTGTCCCTTGCGAAATGCTCGGTTGTCAACTGCTATGAAACTTATGATTACACAATGCCATTTTAGAAAGTGGTCAATGCAACGTATGTTATATTTGGGATTACACTTTCTTATCAAAGTACAAATTCTAGTACTTTTTTGGGTTGAGTCCCATCCGAACCCATGCCGTCAGAGTCAGGCACCTAATCGCCAGCGCACAAAGTCAGCCGCCTAACCCGCTCAGCCACCGCGACTTCCACAAAATGGAAGCCGGACAACTGGTAGCCCAGACTGCGGACTTTGTGTACCCCTCTGATAAGTGTAAATTGGCACGGCTCCCACGGCCGAAAGCGATGATTATACAATGACATTTTAGAAAGTGGTCAAAAGTACTAGAATTAGTAAGAAATAAGAAATAATAAGAAAGAGTAATCCCAAATATAACATATGTTGCTATGAAACCTTTTAGCACCGGTGACCCTGTCGTGTAAAGAACTACAATGTACTCTCCCTTTGTTGAACCAGGATCCAGATTCAAGCATTCAGCACCACCTCTGTTCCAGGTTCACCCCCAACCTGCCACTCTCTCTGATTTCCCCACAACAAGCAGTCTGAATAAGGTGTCGTGATAAAACGAAATACAGTTCAAAGCGGCCCAAAACTCAACTCACTCACTCTTGCACTACTCACGTTTGGTACCCCATGCCGACATGCCCACATATCTGCTGACTCCGCATTTTCTCATGGCGCCTGTTATGGTCTTGATGCTGTCGGTGTACAGCGAGCAGGGCACCCAGATGCCCGCTTGAGCTCCTAGACATGATAGTACTGCGTCATTTCCGGTAAAATGGGGCACCAGTTCATCTTCCTTGGCCAGGTCAACTTTAGTTACCTGTTGAAAAACGTGAACAGTTAATAACGAAACGACGAACAGTATCCAAGCAACATCAAAGCCCAACAGAATTAGCTAACATTAGAAGTCAGGATTCAAGTATTCTACTCTCGTCGAGTCGACTTAAGAAGATGTGATAGTTACAATGTGTGACAGTGGTGATTGGAGGTAACGCTCTCAGTCATTGATCTACCTGGTTCAGGCTTTCAAGGTGGTCTATTCCGGACACTGACGTCGAGCTATGGCGGATACTCACATCGGGCTATTCCGAACACTGACGTCGACCTATATTACGAACACGTTGACTGTTGTTCCGGAGGAAGCGGTTTCTCTTTTAAAGCGTGCGCATAAAAATAGCTGTCACGGTCGACGACTTGAGAAAACTATACGGAAACTGTTTTTTTTATTTTCAAGGATATCGAGACTTACGATGCCTAAGGAAGCAATCAGCGAGTCGCAGGCATTGTATCAACACTTAAGCTTGTTACAATTGTGGAAAAACAAAGGTCATTGTTCATATCCCTGTCGAAACTGTGACGATGGGAGAGCCTTGCAGTTAGAGCGCCGAAAACCTGGGTTCGAATCCCCACATGGGTACAATGTGCGGAGTCCATTTCTGGAGTTCACCGCCGTGATATTGTTGGAATATTGCTAAAACCATACTCCAAAGAGGATCATAGCAAAATGTACTGACAAGACCCTGAAACGTCCACTATTGGCTGAAGTCAACCTGATGAAAGTACACATGTGCCTTAAATCCTTGCTACAGATCACTCACTACACTGACTGACTGAGTTTGGTTTTACGCCGCTTTAAGCAATATTCCAGCAACATCACGGCGGGGGACACCAGAAATGGGCTTCACACATTGTGCCCATGTGGGGATTCGAACCCGGGTCTTCGGCGTGACGAGCCAACGCTTTAACCATTAGGCTACCCCACCGCCCCACTCACTACACAAGCTGCTGAGTGACAAGGTAACCTCCGTCCAGTAGTATTTACAAATATGTCCTTAAATGCTAGTAAACATACGCCAACAACGCATGTATCAGATCACATTAAAAGGCTACAAGTCGATGTGAGTAGACAACCACTGCTATTCCGGGTTCAATTCCCTACACGAGTACAATGTGTCAAGCCCACTTCTGGTGTCCCCTGCCGTGATATTGCTAAAAGGAGAATATTGCTAAAACCACACTCACTCACTCACCCTAACACCCCGACCACATATCTCTGCCCCTATCAGCACACGTCCGCCTCCTTTCTATCCTTCACGTATGCGCCCCAATCCCGATCACTTTCCTCGAGACCTCGCAATCTATCACGAGATCCCGTCACTTCTAGCTAGATCCAATCCCTTCTTGCAAACGTCCATCAAGGTTGGCTATACGTCGGTCACTTGACCGACGGGCCGCATTCCTGCTGCGATGTGACGCTTTTTCAAGATGGTGACACTTCCGGTTCCGGCAAAACAAAGCAAACACCGGAACGTGATCAGCCGCCTTTGGGGTGCACCGTTGACGTAATTATGGGAAGCTAACAACTCCTTTTGATTTGCATAAAAATGTATACGAACTTAATCGACTTTTCAGTTAAATCAACCCACAGCTGACGCCATAAATACCTACTCCTCAACCGCTGAGGGACTCGTTTTACGAGCCATCGGAATTCGATCCCGCCCTACTGTACACCGCGCTACTTACCGTAAGATTCTCGTGTTTCACTGTCATCTTCTCGGGGTTCCTTACTAAAGCAGTAACATGGTGGCCTTGCTGCAAACATTCGTCCACCAACTGCAGTCCACTCGGGCCAGTTGAACCAAATATCACAAACTTCATTCTCCGTCTATATTTCCGATCGCTGAATATTTCCACTCCGCACACGTCGGCAGATCTACAAATCTGCCTTTATATCACCCGGAAACCTCGGCTTGTCCCGGTACAGTTTCCTTCCTCTCCAGCAGTTACTTCCCTTTGAACTATGATTCAGTGTCTGGATCGGTGCTGCTGCATGTCATTTTCAGGCTTGTTACACACCAACCCACGTGGCAACTTTAACACACCTGTGCTCCTTTCAACAAGGGTAAATTATTTTTCATTGCGTAAAAACTCTGATCATTGCAGAGAGGTATGCTCCACGTGGGCTTGTCGTTGTGCCTTCATAAGCTTAGTGAAGCAGAACGCACTCGGGTTTATTCAGTGTGTTTGTATAGTTACAGGGAGCGCTATACATAGTAATTTCCGCTGTGTACGTGCTGGAGAAGAGAGCTGACATGCCGATTCGTCATAATAGCCGCCGTAACGTGCAGCTGAGCACAGGTCCAACCAGGCTGATGAAATCGCCTTCCGCAGTATCGTCATCGATGCGAGTTAGTGCTATTTGTCGGTCAAGCTAATATCAGCATGGCTTTATTTACACAGGACCTGCTGTTCATAACAGAATCTGTTGTTTCGTTTGTTTTGAATGATAGTGTGCTCTTATCGGATACGAATCTCTGTAACTTAAGTGTTAATCTGATTTAGTCGAAGTGTCACAATACGAGCACTCTTATTTGACGGACAAATGTTGGAAAGTCTCAGTGCGTGCAGCAGGTGAAATAGATTCGCTTCGGACTTTAGCATTATTTGTTTAGGTTTACAAAAACAGATTTGGTCATATATTGCCTGTGTGGAATTATCAATTGTTTGTTTCATGCATGTCGGGGAAATGGGTAACTACTACTACTACTACTACAACTACTACTACTACTACTCCTGCTGCTGCTACCACTGCTACTACTACTACTCCTGCTGCTGCTACCACTGCTACTACTACTACTACTCCTGCTGCTACCACTGCAACTACTACTACTACTACTGACCCGTGAAGATACGGGGTAGAATAGATCTTCAGCAACCCATGCTTGCCATAAAAGGCGACTATGCTTGTCATAAAAGGCGACTAACGGGATCGGGTGGTCAGGCTCGCTGACTTGGTTGATGCATGTCATCGGTTCCCAATTGCGCAGATCGATGCTCATGCTGTTGATCACTGGATTGTCTGGTCCAGACTCGATTATTTACAGACCGCCGCCATATAGCTGGAATATTGCTGAGTGCGGCGTAAAACTAAACTCACTCACTCACTCACTACTACTACTACTACTACTACTACTACTACTACTACTACTACTACTACTACTACTACTACTACTACTACTACTACTACTACTACTGCTACTACTACAAGGCTCGGTAGCCTCGTGGTTAAAGCGGCACACTGAAGGCCTTGATTCTCCACATGTACACACTATCTGAAGACCATTCATGGTGTCCCCTTCCGTTTTGCTGGAATATTGCTAAAGGCGGTGTAAACCCAACTCACTCACTTCTACTGCTAGTAGTACCGCAACTTCTACAACTACGTAGCTACTTCTACTACGTATCGTGATGCTGCTCTACAAGTAATGGGGGCGGTGGGGTAGCCTAGTGGTTAAAGCGTCCGCTCCTTACGCTGAAGACCCGGGTTCGATTCCTCCCATGGGTACAATTTGTGAAGCCCATTTCTGGTGTCCCCCGCCGCGATATTGCTGGAATACTGCTAAAAGCGACGTAAAACTTAATTCACTCACTCACTAACTACTATTACTACTACTACTACTACGACTACTACTACTACTGCCGTCGCCACCACCAGCACTACTCCTACAACACAACACCTACTATTACTGCTAATATTGTATTTATAACTACAAATGTACAATGCAACTACTATTGTATATATTGCTACTGCCGTGGGTTCGAATCCATGTACACCTTGATTATATCTCCAGGCCTGCCATCACCATACCCGTGCTCCTAGGTTGATAGACGTATGAGACTCGGCTCACTCACGGATTTCCTCCACATCTTGTTGACACGCCGTCATATGTCTATATGGTTGTTCAAAGCGACGTAAAACACAACTCATAGTTCATTTGTTGATTAGATGTCTCAGGTAGCACTTTAATGTATTTCTTGTGTCCCTCATCCTCGATAATCTCCAGGGTATACGTTACGATCACTCTCCACTATACCCTGGATGCATCCACGGCTTGGTGGATCCATCCAGGGTATAGTGGAGAGTGATCATAACGTATACCCTGGAGATTATCGAGGATGGGTGTCCCTTGGCTTTGTTTGAAGATTGCGAAACATAATGTACAACTATGCTCACTTACTGTAACTACCATTCTTTCGACGACGACCACATCTGTCAATTCTACCATTCACTCTACAGTCACTACAACGTGTACTACCACTGCAGCTGCCGTCACTACCTCCCTCTCTCTCTCCCTCTCTCTCTCTCGATCGATGCGCTGGTAATGCGCATGTAAAACAGTGTATCCCCGTTATCTACAGTACAAAAATACACGTCCAGGTTTAAGAATTTTTAATGTAAGACAGAAATTTGGAATTCATTTTTAAGATGGTCACTGCTGATGATGTAGCGTAATTTGATAGTCACGTGAACAATACCAACAAGTGTATCCAGATCCACTACTAATGATGTCTGCGACGGTTGATATGTGATTGATGTGAGCATATATCTTTGATTGAGTTTGTCTCACTGGTTGTTTAATCACTTAGTTGGCTATACAACGTCATCCCATGATCTCTGTACTGGCCAGCTCGAAGTTAGCTACATCCCTATATCATCCAAGGATGCGCTGAGATCAGTTGACGGGACTCCATAAGAATTTTTTCAAGAACTATTCAGATTCTGTTTTTCAGTCGTCGTTTCATTTTGCATTTTGCTGGCTGTGACTTCACTTGATTCCGATGGACACGAACTTCCTTTTCCACTCGCCGTTGACGACACACGTCAGCATGAACTTAACGACATCGCGGCGGGGAATTGTATACGTTACGCCAGGGACGAATTGGCCTTCGACAGCTTGTACCTCTTTGCCTGCAGAGACCATTATTGACAAAATATATAAATGCATTTGATATAAATCTCGTACCTTCAAATCTATCGTAGTAAACGCAACTGACGTTAAAGAGACCAATTAAGAATTACAATACTCAAAGCTATGATCCGTTTCTCCAGGGGGCGCATTTCGGCAAAGCTTCTCTTGCCCTTGGATCTATTTCCTTGCTTCTTGCGATCACAAATTACTCGCGCTTGTCTTCCATTTCATTGGCTATACTACAGGGTCTAACCACAGGCCGTCGTGTCTTTGCGAAGATCAAAGATTAAAAAAACATTTTTTTGAGATGACCTCCGACTCGAAATGCAACACAGTACAATACATTATGACAAGGCCGGACACTTCGGTGTACCCTACCCGCCTGCTTTGTCGATCGCTACGCTACCATCGCATGTAGTCGATTAAAACTTCATGTAAACCTTATCACGGATGGTTGACCTATCAATAACCACTCATGACACCTACCAGTTCTTTATTGTTATTTCTGCAAGTCGCTTGAAACCCGATTTTGACCCTCAACTAAACGACCTTGACACAAATGGATGACGTATGTCCGCACAAAACGGGGTTGTGCGATGGACAATACAACACCGAGGAAGCCGCTCCTAAATAACAATCTCCCTCACTAATATGTTTTAGATTCATCCGTTCCACATTTTAAATATATATTACACAACGTTTGATAGCAATAATCAGGTATTTCATTCTATTCAAATATATTTACTTAAGCAAATCGGCTTTGACTGATGTATGACTGATACAGATTATTCCCTTCCGAAGTTGAATAGAATACATTACTTTGCCTGAGAAAGATGTTAAACTATAGTCAAGTTAAGTGGCACAAACCCGTGCTGTCTTTTATCCATTCTCATTAAAATCAGATCTTAGATCTCGTTGCCGCGAAACATACACGTCTGAGGACATCAGGTCACGGTACCTTGACAAGTACACGAAATCGTCAGAAGCTCATCCGAGACCTTTCGAGCTAAACGAGTTTCACCAGTTTCGAATAGGAAAATAGATTCCTGATTACACTGTCATAATATACTGAGTGAGAGAGTGAGTTTGGTTTTACGCCGCTTTTAGCAATATTCCAGCAATATCACGGCGGGGGACACCACAAATGGGCTTCACACATTGTACCCATTTGGGGAATCGAACCCGTGCCTTCGGCGTGACGAGCGTACGCTTTAACCACAAGACTACCCCTCATAATATATAGACAAATTCTCGACTGAAAACTGAAAGAAAATAAAATTCCGGAATGTTTAACAGACTGTATATATCCGCTTCCCAAGGCGTATGTAAAGTCTTCCGTATGCGTCTTCCGTTTCAAATGCTTATCCACGCAAATATCAAATTTGCATGAATAGAAACCGCATTCCGACTGCCACTTTTACTGATCGAGTAAACAACACTCTCATTAATGAAGATGGTTCTTACATGACATGCAATGGGGTGTTCTCAGATTCCTATTTCAATGAGATTGTCTTTTATCTGTGGCTATTCGATTAAGGCAGTTAACTTTATAAACATCCTCTTTTTCCGTCTTAAAATTTCAAATATTGCACAATACCAATTTTCTAATAAGTGAAACACAAGACGCTTTAAGAATCTGTTGTGTTATAATCCAAACGTTATATCACTTGAAATACTTTTTTTATTTCATGCCAGTTCCGCCGAATCTGAGTTTGGGAATTATAAGGGATAGCGTAATGGTCATTTTTTTACTGTATGCCAGATGGGCAGCGAAAAATAGCGCTCTCGACCAAAGCTTAGCCTCTGGAATATATATTATTGATAGAAACAAACAATTGTTTGTAAATTGTAAGGAGCCCAGGTGAGAAGGGAGATTCCTGAACCTGAGGAAATCCGGACTTTCATTCGGATCTTTAGCATTGCAGAAAGGGCTTGGAAGAAGGGAAAGTACTGCGGTTCCATGACTGTGAGACAGACAAGACAGCACTCGCTTGGGACACACCACAGTTCGGCAATAAGCACAACTTGCCTACCTGATGACTTGTCCATCGTGAGTTGGGCAGGTCTGACCACGGTGTAGTCGATGTCCCCGCACTCCGCCAGATAGTCCTCCATCTGCCCCATGTTGAGGAGAACCCTCTTCAGGAACAGGGGGCGGACGATATACTTGATCACAAACGGCTGATTCGCATCATCTGCAACGAAGGAGCATCCTCATCGCCATTGGTCACAATTAGTAAATAGTTGAACAAATAGAGTGAATTGTGTTACAGTCAAACACCGCTATGTCGAAGTTGAAGGGACCTGCGCATCTACTTCGTCGAGGTTCTAGGGGCGGTGGGGTAGCCTGGTGGTTAAAGCGTTGGCTCGTCTCGCCGAAGACCCGGTTCGATTCCCAACATGGATACAATATGTGAAGCCCATTTCTGGTGTCCCCCGCCGTGATATTGCTTCAATATTGCTAAAAGCGGGGTAAAACCCAACTCACTCACTCACTATTCGAGGTTCGACACAATCTACTAAGTTCGGCCAAAGGATGACTAAATGAGGAATATGCAGGACTAAGCTTTCACAACCGTGACTTCAACACAACTGTATTTCACTGTATTATGTAAAATTCTCACGTATAGATAGTCATTGGGCAATAGGAAAAGACTCAAGTCAAAACATTGATTACACAACAGTCACTTTTCCTGTTGACTGGGTCCCGTCCTATTGCGCAACTTAGTACAATAACCAGTCCAGAATTTTGGGACCAATTCATTTAACTGGATACATAATTATTCATCAGTTTTATTTGATACATATAAGCACTTGTATATTGCAACACTACGCTCCTTCTAATCCTTGCAAACACGTCGTGCAACGTGCTCTGTCGTACAGCGAGCTCTTACAAACAGAAAACTGGAAATTGTGTGGAAATCTCAAACGAGGCTCTCCCGCTAGAAAAGGTTGGCGGTCTGGTACGGCTTGATATTATATCAATCATACTGTGCGTTATAGAACTCCACTGAATAAGCGCAAAAATCGCATAACAGGCGTAACCAATTATCCAGATGCATTATAAATCGACCTCATGTAACAGGGAAGTCTGTGACATGCTGCCTACACCTCGCCATACAATATAGAAATACGATGTTATTAAAGTTTAAAATTAAGATTCATTTGTAAATACCATCTTCTTAAGAAACAAGGAATTTGAATTCAGTGTAACCATACTTGTTTGTAGTGTCTATGTTCACTTTCACATTCGGATCGCCTGAAAAGTAGGTCATTGTCTGAATAGGTTAATAATACTCATGTTTCAGTTGTGACCTGAACTTATCACTTGGGAATTCCACTGGCCACATCACCAGACATATCTGGATTTACAAGCACTTATATTTACTGGGCCAAGGCGGTTGGCATGATAGTATTCCAGCCTAGTCCTAGTGGTTGAAGCGTTTGCCCGTCGCGCCGAAGACCCGGGTTCAATTCCCACATTGTCATTGTGAATAGCCCATGTCTGGTGTGACCCGCCAATTATTTATCATAGTCACTCCCTCGATTGCAACTACAACTACAGCTACAAAAATACCAAACAAACTTGTTCGCAGGGCATGATAGTATTCCAGACAAATTGTTGTGATTATTTGTTTCGGTTCCCCATACATACATTTTGTCCCCCAGGACGCCATTCCGACGAATCTGCTGACGCCAGCCGCCTTCATGGCTCCCGCGATGACCTTGATGGTGTCTGTGTAGAGGGTGACGGTGGACCACATCGATACCCTTGACCCCAAACACGATATGACGGCGTCACATCCCGTCAGCGGGGCGACTAGCTCATCCTGATTCTGTATGTCCGATTTCACAACCTAAAACAAACGGTCTGTGAGTGTTTGGATCTGATACAGGGTTCATTTTAGCGGGTGTCGTGTAAGTTGCAAAGGGAAGCAACTTGCTACGTTTATGTTGCAAAGGGAAGCAACTTGCTACGTTTATGTTGCAAAGGGAAGTATCTTGCTACGTTTAAGTTGTAAAGGGAAGTAACTCTGAGTTTCGGTGTGGGAGCAGGAGAACCGTGGAGGTTATGCTTGGTTGGTTTGTTGTTTAACGCCACACTCAGCAACATATGGCGGCGGTCTGTAAATAACCGAATCCGGACCAGACAATCCAGTGATCAACAGCATGAGCATCGATCTACACACATGGGATACGATGACATGTGTCAACGAGACTGACCACCCGATCCCGTTAGTCGCCTCTTACGACAAGCATGGTTTACTGAAGATCAATTATAACCAGGATCTTCACAGGGTTCAACGAACTAGAAATAAAAATAGATGAAAAATAATTTGTCTTGATTTGGCCCTCGGGAAAGCATTGAATGTGCTAATATTTGAAACTCATATTCTCTTGTTTAATATGTTGTTGCACAGAGGTACATTGAGATTGTCACAATAAATAACTGCTCGTGTATTGTAACTGTTCAGGCGAGGTTCATTTCTTGTCATCCTCGGAATCAATGTACATGTATGCGGTTTCACAATCATGCGGTATGTGACAATTATGAGTGAGAGAATCAATATTCTGAAACGATACGGTCAGCAATAGTTTCGCCAATCAAGTCTGGACAAGGCAACCTGTGACTCAAATCATGCGATCCACAATCTCCAACAGTGGCACGTGATCTGCCATGTGACTCAGTCTGATACCGTGCTATATTTGGTGGGTCCGGTATCCCCATGTGTTTAGAGCGATGTGGAGCTACAACCATACAAATATCAACACACATTGGTGACCAACTACCTATGATGTGTATTTTGCATTGATACTGAAAAAATATTGGTTGGTTTGAACGTTTTACGCAGCGCTCAGTACATTCCAGCTACATCACACGACCTAGATATAGTGAGTGAGTTTAGTTTTACGCCGCACTCAGCAATATTCCAGCTATATGGCGGCGGTCTGTAAATAATCGAGTCTGGACCAGACAATCCAGTGATCAACTGCATGAGCATCGATCTGCGCAATTGGGAACCGATGACATGTGTCAACCAAGTCAGCGAAACTGACCACCCGATCCCGTTAGTCGCCTCTTACGACAAGATAGTCGCCTTTTATGGCAAGCACATGGGTTGCTGAAGACCTATTCTACCCCGGATCTTAGATATAACCAAGGCTGGGCCAAACAATCCAGTGATCGATACTGAAACAGCAATCCACGCCGCAAAGGCACGTTGACACACCTGACCGCTTGACCTTCTCCAGCACCTGTCCACTAACGACGAGCCCAGGTTGCTTAAAAGCAAACCGGTATCTCCACGGTTGAGAAGATAATGATAAATGCCAGTACAAGTGTACCTACCGTGAGGTTGTCATGTTTGATGGTCAGTTTGTCTGGGTTCCTTGCCACGGCCACGACAGAGTGTCCACTCTCGAGACACTCCTCCACCAGCAGAGCGCCGCTCGGGCCTGTCGAACCAAAAAATAGCAATTTTCATAACTTGAAAGCTACGCGTTCATACACCTTGCAGGTTTCCGGCTCCCTCGGACTTCGGCAATTGATTGATATTCACCAACTAGAGTTGTTGTCTCCCTTTGATTGATTTAGAATATGAAGCATGTTGTGGAAAGTCTTCAAGTTTTGGGCGATAACACTTCGTCCCGGGTCAATAGAGTAGGCGCTGGTTTGTACTCAAGATAACGTTAAATGCCGTATTGAGAATATGTTGTGTACGTAACACGGTGCGTGGGTGAATGACCGAGTGAATGAGTGAGTGAGTTGGGGGTTTAGCCTGTTTTGAACCGTCATTCAGTCAGTTTCACAACGGGGTGTTGACTTTATTTGGGAAGAGTGAGTTGGTTTTTACGCCGCCTTTAGCAATATCCCAGCAATATCGGCGGGGGACACCAGAAATGGTGAGGTGAGGTGATATGGGGTTTAACGTCGTGCTTGAGAATATTTCGCTCATATGATGACGTGCATGCGTGTGTATGTGTATGTGTGGCTGTTTGTACTAGCCCAGACTGAAGCTGGTTTTATAGTGCTAGCCCACTGAGATACCATGCCGCAGTGAACATGAATACCCCACTCACACACATTATACTAACTCCGAACCGACCAGTCCTTGTTGTATCCATTAATCCCGAGAGCCAGGCAGGACCAACAAGTACCATATTTTAACGTCTCTTGGTATGACGCGGTCGGGGATCGAACCCGCGACCTTCCGCTCTCCGGGCGGACGCTCTAACCACTACACCACGGAGGCGGTCCCAGAAATGGTATTTGGGAAGAGATGGCAGGTGGCACAAACACAAGCTGCGAAAGACCACCTCTAAGCTTGATCTTCACGGGGGTCACCTGTTAGTGAAACCCACGAGCACTGGTTTGGTGCAGACAAACCAAGGAAACTTGGAATCGAACCGTTGCCAAGAGGATCCTGTCACAAGGTTGAATATTCTTCATAACGCTCAGGTGAAATGGAGTTTAAATATGTTCAGTCCTCGTTTCATCTCCATTAACCAGCCAGCCAAGATAACAATACGTATCATCTTTTGGCGTCTTTTAGGAGAGGTCGAAAACCAACTTTCTGCTCTCAGGCCAGACAATCTGCACACGAGTTGACACAGGTGGTCTTTCCCTTTCATAAAAATCACACTCGTTGTTCAACCCTCTGTATTCTTCTACATGGCATCTCTCACGGTCTTTTAATCTGGAAGCTTACTTATAAAAATCACATATATCTGACTTCACAGAGTATCGCATAATAAGTTCTGTTGAAAGAGACCAAAGCCGTCATGTCACATTCATGCAGTTGAATGCTTTCCTTGTATAAAAGACAAATCACGTTGAAAAGATGCCTTCTGTAAGAGTATACGATGTATCAGAATTTGTAGGGGCGGTGGGGTAGCCTAATGGTTAAAGCGTTGGCTCGTCACGCCGCGAAGACCCGGGTTCGAATCCCCACATGGGCACAATGTGTGAAGCCCATTTCTGGTGTCCCCCGCCGTGATATTGCTGAAATATTACTTAAAAGCGGCGTAAAATCAAAACTCAGTCAGTCAGTCAGAATTTGTATGAAGTCTGTTGTATTTGTGTAACCTAGTCATGAATAACGTAGAAGGAATTTGTATGACGTCCGTTGTATGACTTCAAAGAATGTGCTGGTTAAAGAGTTCGCTCGTCACGCCGAAGACCCGGGTTCGATTTCCCACATGGGCAAAATATGTGAAGCCCATTTCTGGTGTCCCCGCCGTGATATTGCTGGACTATTGCTAAAAGCGGCGTAAAACTAAACTCAATCATTCACTCTCTCAAAGAATGTGCAGTCCGTGTGTGAACGTAACGAAACTCTTGTCTAAATAGTCCTTCTGCACTTTCGAAGAAAGCCATTCTCAATACGTTGTTTGAGAGTTACATAGTTAATATAGGAAGTGCTCAATGCATAGGCGGATCCAGGCGGCAGCAGGGGTGCGCACCTCCCCTTTTGTGCTGAAAGTTTGTTAAATGGCCATTGAAAGTCGGGTGAAAATGAAGTGTGCACCCCTCCTTTTCTCGATAGTGTGCACCCCCATTTCTCAAAAAGCTGTATCCGCCCTTGCAATGTGATCCCGAAAACGCTGTTCTCTCTGGTCCTGCGGTACTGCGACAATGAGCCTGAGTTCTTCCATTTGTGTCGATATTAGATGGAGTTGTCTCCCTTACATCATCACTCGTCAACCGCATTGGCTTCACACCCCCTCTCTCTCCCCCTCTCTCTCTCACACACACATACACACTCTGAGTATCAGAAACGTGAGCGACAGTTAAGATCATCTGTTATTATGATTTACCTCAAACGATAAGAAACTACTTCATTTAATCAGCGCTGCGGACTCTCGGATAATTAGCATCTTCAGACCGTACAGATCACTGACCTTGCACCGCATGGTGTAATGACTGAAAACCAGGCTGAAAAGGTGAGTCAGGGAGACGGGCCCAGATGGATTGTACGGCAAGTCGTTACGTCGACCAAGGCACCGCCTCACCAACGACTACGTCGGCGATGAAAAATTGCCATTCAACTTCCCACTAGTGGCAGGGCCTCCGCTCCAGGGCCTCCACTCCAGGCACACTGGTCGCTCGGTCTCTGGGTTCGATGGTTACTATTACTTGCACAGTTTCGACCGAACTATAATAAATTTGGCAACTGTCGTCCTTAACTTCACCTCTGTTTTCCGGGGGCAGTGGAGTAGCCTAGTGGTTAAAGCGGGTTCGATTCCTCACAATGTGTGAAGCCCATTTCTGGTGTCCCCCGCCATGATATTGCTGGAATATTGCTAAAAGCGACGTAAAATCAAACTCACTCACTCACTCTGTTTTCCGTCGTCCAACTGAGGTGAGGTGAAATTGGGTTTAACGTCGTGCTTGAGAATATTTCGCTCACATGACGACGTGCATGCGTGTGTATGTGTATGTTTGGCTGCTTGTACTACCCCGGACTGAAGCTGGTTTTATAGTGCTAGCCCACTGATATACCATGCCACAGTGAAGCATGAATACCCCGCTCAGACACATTATACTGACTCCGAGCCGACCAGTCCTTGATGTACCCATTAATGCCGAGCGCCAGGCAGGGACCAACAAGTACCATATTTTAACGTCTTTTTGTATGACGCGGTCGGGGATCGAACCCGCGACCTTCCGCTCTCCGGGTGGACGCTCTAACCACTACACCACGGAGGCGGTTCGTCCAACTGATCTACCATTGGTAGCACAACACGTTCTCTCTTGGACAGCAGTAATGCCACGTGTGAAACAGAGATATTGCCGCTATATACACTGTACTTATTATTTTTCTGTGTGATATACACCATAACTGCTGTGCCAAGCAGATAATAGCAGGGTATTAAACTCTCTTCAATATACATCTAGTTAATGTCTCGAGTGAAGATTATTGTACGACTGACACAAACTCGATATTTAATTGAATATATTGAATACATCGTTTGTTGGCTCAGGCCCAGCTGGATTCAGCTTTAACAATAAACATACTGTTCTGTTCATGTTGTTTTCAATGAAGTTAAACGACATAATTAAATGACGTTGGCAAGTTGAAAGGCTGAATTTGTGCTTCAACAATGCAACAAGTTTTAGAACACCAAGGGAAAGGCTAATGCAAGAGTATTTTGTTGCCGTAATATTTCAATAACTCTAGACTAAAAACAAGCTAGTGCCCTTCTTTGAGTGGCGTTTTACATGTTTTAAAGTACAGTTTGACAACATAGTTCCTGAGCGGGTTAGGCGGCTGACTTTGTGTGCTGGCGATTAGGTTCGGGCGTGGGTTCGAATCCCGCATGAGACCCAACCCCAAAAAGTACTAGAATTTGTACTTTACTAAGAAAGTGTAATCCCAAATATAACATATGTTGCATTTGACCACTTTCTAAATGGCATTGTGTAATCATAACATAATTCCTCCTTGGCAACGGTACACGAATCTGTATCGAAACGTCGCACTCACGAAATAAAAAGTTGTTATTCATAAGGTTTGTCTATATTGTGGCTAGTGCCCTGTCTCAACATCAGTGGGACAGCTGCCCATTCGCAGCAGACTGCGAAAACCTTTTGGGAATCAAACATTCAAATATTGCGTCACTGAATGTTTGTTTGTTCGTTTGTTTGTTGTTGAACTCAACAATTTTCCAGCTACATGAAGACGGTATATAAATAGTACATCGAGTCTGGACCAGACAATCCAGTGATTGACATCGTGAGCATCGATCTAAGCAATTGGGATACCATGACGTGTGTCGACCAGGTAGACGAGCCTGACCACCCGATCCCGTTAGTCGCCTCTTATGCGTGTTGAAGACCAATTCTAACCCGGATCCAAAACAAATTAAAAAATCAAATAAAATTAGACATTTGTATAGCGCTACAAATCCGAGTCCTGCTCATGTGCGGTTAGTCGAATGCTCGTTTGAAGAAGATGATTTTGAGACAAGATCGGAAACTGTTCATATTTTCCGATTTTCTGACATTTTCAGGTAATCCATTCCAGAGTACAGCACCCGCTCTGCTAAATGTTCTGTACCGTATGTTGTGGGTCGGACAGATGGAACATCTAAGCTTTGCTGACTAGCTGATCTGCGTGACCTTCATGGCTTGTGAATGTTGACTAGTTCCTGGAGATAGAATGGAGCAAGCCCATTAATGGACTTGTAAACAAACACAAGAAGTTTGAATACAACTCTATCTTTTACAGGGAGCCAGTGTAAGTCCTTCAGGACTGGTGTTATGTGCACATACATATGTGTGCGTGTTATGAGCCTGGCAGCTGTGTTTTGAACACGCTGTAACTTTTCCATGTACTTCTGCTGTATTCCATAGAGTTGACTGTTGCAATAGCCTAGACGTGATGTCACAAATGCATGGTTCTGCCATTGATTCTGCTAGTTCTCTGCTCTCAGACCTTACCCCATCAATGATAACTGATTGCTTGCGTCCTGTGAGAT